GAGGTTCTTAAACAAAATAAAAGATGCAATGTCTCTTTTAGTTCTCATAATTTTCTTGCTTTAGAAGCATACATCTTTGCTTACTAATATATTTTTGTCCCTTAAGTCACTTGCTTTGAATCAAAGCATTTATTAACCTTTATATATATATATATATATATATATATATATATATCCCCGGATTAATAAATAAATATATATAACATAAATTTGTTTTTTCTAAAGATTTCCCATTAATTGTATTGAATAATTTGTTTGGAAATCAAAATAAATTTCGTTGCATTCTTTTTAGTTATATTCATCAAATCTTATAATAAGATTAAAATGGTTCCCAAAAGTACTTTTACAGGCAAACCCCTAAAACTCTGAGGATATGTACAGACTGTCTACCATGACGCCATCCATACATAATAATTTTATTTTATGTTATTAATGTAATTATTTCCATGTTTTTTTATAAAGGAAAATTATTGGTAATTATTTTCATGTTTTAGAGCTTTGTTTATAACATTAGTGATTTTCTGACTAAATATTTACGTTAAATATCCTAAACCATGCAATTTATTCATCAATTTTGAAAGCTTCGTGCATCATTAAAAGATAATTTTTAAAATATATAATTGTGCATATTAAATTAAAGAAGGCAAACTATTTTAGGCAATAATAATAAAAGAAAATGACAATTAAAATGTAAGGCAAATCAACTAGTCGTCATCATAATTCGTCACAATTAATTTTATTCAGTATTAATTTGTAGATAAAGAGAAAGAAACTACTACTTATTGCTGTGTATTCCAATATTAATATATAGTTGAGATTCAGATACCATTATATTTTTTTAAAATATGTTTCCTTATTTTCTATCCCACATCGGTCGACAGTCTGACGACAGCGTACGCGAATCTATCAATACTCCGCTAATATGCAAAATCAATAAATTCTTATGATTTAAATAAATTAATAACACATTTTAATATATACATGTGTGTATATATATATATATATCAACATCTACCTCATTACCATATCTTTTATTTACGAATATATATATATATACACACACACCGCATACGTTTAGTTTAACAAATATTTACATATGAACAGCACCGTACATATTTATTATTCTATTTTTGTTAGTATTCCAACTTTTATATTTGAATTTAGATGATAAAATCTATTATCTATTGAAATAAATATTTATATATTTAAGCTCACATAAAGTTTTACTTATTATATAATAAAAATATCATTTTTTTTTGTATATTTTCTATGCTTTTGAGGATAAGAAAGAAAAAAGATATGTAAGTTGTCTTCTAAAATTAGTAAGTAGAATGCTCTAACAAAAAAAAAATAAAAACATATAAAATAAGGTGTGGAGATGACATCACAACCCCAACATTTACTTAAATAATTGTGATTTTAAATTACTATTAATCAAAAAGCCTTTGTGGCATTTCCTCTTGTAACTACTTTGACAACTTCATTACACTAACAAAAAAGCAACAACCCATTTTTAATTAGTTTTTTAGATCACATGATTTGTGCACTATCGTATTGCATAACCAAAGAAATAGAATTTCATCATACCAATAGTATGTGAAATTTTGAAGATTACAGGTAATATGGTTGCCATTTTTATTCGTCATAATTTTTACTATTTTTATTCTTTTAATTTCATAAAAAAAGTTTCAATTTTCCATTCTATTTAAATATTTATAATTCTTATTTAATATATAATTCTATCTCTTATTTTTATTTTTAAATTTATTTTATATACATGAATTAAATATTAATAGTAGTAGGGTTTAAAATTTTAACATTTATAATGATACTGTATTTTTATAATTAAATATTATCTTTTCAACTATATCATGTCTTAAAGTTTTAAATATGCTTCTAATTATGATTAGATATAGAAGTTTTGATTGAGAATTAAACTTTAGAAATTAAATCTATTTACTAGAAATTTTAAAATGATAAATACATACTTTTAACTCGATAATAATGCTATATTATATTACATTATAAACATTATATACGTAACATTGTCTGTTTTTTTTTTCTTTTCGTCTTATTTCATAACCACATTGGGGATTAGTTGATCATAGTTCTTTTTCTATTATTACAAAACCAATAAGATGGAGTTTGTTAAGATGAGGGCCTGCAACCATGTGACTTCAAACACACTCGTTATATTAATATTGTTGACTAATTATATTTAAACATAATTTTAAAATAAACAATATATTTTTTATGTTCATTTTATGGTTAGTATACTTTGGAAGTAATTAAAATATTAATTTTCCACGAGAAATGCTTTTCCGCTTTGCATCTCCTTTACACTTAAACCCAACCCTTCACACTTCGAAAGCTATCATGGGACCTCTTTTTTTTGCCCTCCAATACGAGATGCAATTATTTTTATATAAATACGTAATCCTTTATTTTTAGATACGTGTATAAGAAAGTAACATATTTCCTTAATATTCGAATTTTTAGATAATTATTTTTTTACAAATTGAAATATTTTAATTTGGTTCGTTATTATTCTAAATAATATCATTTCAACCAACAAATAGTGAATTATGATTTGAATCTCACATATCTTAAGACATAAAATATGCGGGCATGCATTTTTAACATCTAGTTTTATTTTTTATATTCGATAAATTTAAATATATAGTTTTAATTTATATCAATGTCTTAATTCTTTTGTACATAGAAATTTAGACATTTAAACACAGGAATTTGGGTTGTTTCCAAACCAATTTTGCTTTGACGTTGCAAGTAAACTAAATCTGTTGGAGAATCAGAATCATTAATTGTTTTCTTTGGGCTTCACCATTTCTGCTACTTTTTTTTTTTTATAACATTGGGAACCCCGTGACTACATACCCTTACAAACGGAGACGAACTGGCTACCACCCGCGCCTAACAGTCCCCATGGACCTCAGTCCGCCGGACCTGACCACCAGGCGCGCCTAACGCTCGGGCCGTAGTTGGGCTTAGGCGCCTGCGGGTCAAACCCAAGCCCACGACGCACGAGCCTGCGACACACGCGTGGGATGTAAATCAGCACATTATGACAGGCTGACAGGCGAGCAGGTCAAGGGTAAGGAAGAACGATGTTGGGAGTCGATCCCTCCACCTCAGAGTTGCTCACCCTGCTCCATTTCTGCTACTTTGTTTAACCATAATCACAATTGCAATCATTCTTTTAATCTAATCAAAATTTTAATCGAGATTAAGTTTCATAATTATGATATAAAATATATACTCTCTCTCACTAGTAAAGTTAAAGACAAAGAAACCATAAACCTCACTGAAAATTGATATTTCTTATTACAAGTGGTATTTTGAGTTTAGATTCGGTTTTGTTGGGATTATTTTTTATTTGGATTTAATATAATTTTACAAAAAAATGTACATATATGTATTCGGTTTTATGTCGTGTTTGGTTCGTTTTGGATATTCATTTTATCAATAGAATAACCATTTTCTAAAGAATTTTTTAATTTCAAAATTTTGATTATTTTGATATTGTATTGGGCTCAATTTGGATTAGGTTAATTTGATCTAAAAATTAATTATGATAAGTTTTTGAATTGAATTCAGTTATTGAAGGAGCAGATGTTATTCAACTTAATTTGATTTGATTGTGTATATTAAAATAAAAATCAAAATGGAAATATAAACGTTCGACAAAGTATTTGCTAATTGCATTTGTCCATAATGAAATGTGATTTTAAACCTCTACTTTGGTTTTGAGTTTCTTAGAAGTGAAGATTCAAAGTAATGGAAAATGAATTGTAAGATAATATAACTAAAATAATTCAAGAGGAAAAAAAATCTAAGAACAAAATTAAGCATGAGCAAAATGTGTTGCCGGTGATATATTATAATAATTATTAGTCAATACCATTATCTGTTTCCTTAGCTTAAAATTTTTCTAAAACCCCGTTTTCATATTTCATAACCGATTTGGGTCAGATGATTGTTCCATATCATTTTTAATATGACACTATGTCAATTACCACGTATTTGCATTGGTACTTTTTCATTAAAAAATTTATACGAAAATGTATTAAACTGTGTTCTAAACAAAGTTCAAAATATCAAACAATAAGCAAAAAAAAAAGAGAGTAACTCCACTTTGAGACTGAGTGTTCGATTCCTCCTTGTTGGAGAGGGAGATAATTTCTGGGTTTATATGATCCATATACAAAGACGGTTCCCAAATCGGAGGTTTACCTAGTCAGCGCGCCTGAATGGTAGCAGCTAGGGGTCTTCCGTTTTTCATTGGGACGTTAAAATACATTTATTGCCACAAAATATTATAACGTATATTATATATTTCTAATCATTTTCAAACTCGAGCAGAGTTTATAAACGTGTTAACAGCTCCTTTATTGTGGGCCAAAGTAATAGCCCACGTTTTTCATTGGGACGGACTACATATGCCATTTCTCTCTCACACACACACACATATGTATATCGGTCGACACATTAATACGCACGAGGATTTTTGATATATTGTAAGTTCAAAAAACTTGGAACATATAATGTGTAACAATGTGTATGTGGTGTCAGTAACAAAATTTCGGGGTATAGATGGACACAAGCCATGCCGGCTGTCAACAATTTGGATAATTCCGAATCCGGACCGCTCGAATTTTATTTAGTTCAAAACCCGATACAAATAGTAATTGTATCGAGTATCCAAACCTCGGATATCAGCGAATACCCGCAGATCTCTAACCGCAAAGTTGAGATGACGAGGGCAAATACGATGGCATACCCAAGAAGAGGGCGAGCAAATAACGAGAGTTAGAAGAGAGAGGGTTCGGATACCAAGTGACTCGATACCCAAATGCCAAAATTTTAAAACCCAATCTTGCTCTCCGGTCAATCAAATACCCGACCCACGGATGAATTCAGATATCCGGAAATCGGATAATTTTACCCATACGTAGTTGATAGGCACTAGAAACTACATTGTATGACTCTGAAAGGTGTTCATATGCAATTTATCCTCTTCTTTGAATCATAACTTTAAAGTAAGTACATTGATTCTCTGAACCCATTTCCCGAACCGAGGATTTCATAGCTGCCCTAATCCAAAAACTCAAATCAAACCAAAACAGAAACCGAAATATATGATCCAAAAGTTTCGAAAAAAAGAAAGACGTTACTTCTCCATATCACACAAAAGAGCCCCGTTCGATATCAAGTACTGGTATGGTTCTTCAGCGGTACTGCAAAACCATATAAAGTCCAAAGGACTTAGAAAATGCTACAAACAATACCACAGAAAACTGCAGAAACAAAGACCGGTTTTTGTTCTTTTTACCTTGATGAAGCCAATCTCCTTGGCATTGCTACGGAAGCACTGCCTGCAACAGTTCAATCCATACTTCCTGATGAGTCCATGGGAGTTTCCGCACACACGGCTGTCGATCCAGAAAACGGTAGCATCAGTCTCGATTCTTAATACGAAACCAGCGGAAAAACACAAGCTTTGTATTCATCACAAATCGCAAATCCAGATGAAAAATAGTAACATGAGTCTCGATCGACCTTTGATCCCATACCGGTGGTATGAGTCTCAACCCGAAAAATAGTGACATGATTCTCAGTTCTTGATACGAAACCGATGAAAAAACACAAGCTTATGTTCATAAAGATCGCAGAAACATCGACAAATCCAGATAAAAAAGTATATAAAAGATGGTGGAATTTGCATTCTTGGATAAGATGACAATTAAATGTCTTCGGAAAGTCTTAGATTATATAGTTCCGGTGATAAAAACGAGAATCGAAAGATGTAGACTGTCCGGAACCTAAACATCGAACTAATCATCAACTGCAATTGAATGATCTCATAGTTCTGAAAGGTCTTCGAAAGATTACAACAGTCGCCAGAGCCGATTAACCCAAAACCTAAATTTACAGGCATGCTCAATTGATAAACACAGATTCAAAGAACCACCAAAACCTATTCTAAAAAAACCATGTTTGGAATGGGAACATTCACGATCACGAACTGAAACGTGAGAACCAAAAGGCGAAGGAAAATCAAAGAATTCTGAATGAAGAAGAACACGAATCTCTACAAAAGCACTACAAAAATGTCAAATACACTCAATAATCTCGATCGTTCTACAAGCTCCTCGCAAGGATACGATAGTCGCTATAGCTGATTAACACAATTCCAGGATCAATAGGCATCCGCAGATTCATCGAGCCACCAAACCCAATTCAGGGAGAAACGAAAAATCGGAGACTTTCAGGAAAAATAAAGCGTAATTCAAAAGAGACAATCACAAAAAAATCGGGAGAAAACGAGGAAAACTCTTACCAGGTGCGAGATCCAGGACCGTACTTCTTGGGGTGAGAATTCCAAACGTTGCTGTGACCCATCCTGTGCGACTTCGTTGCTTCTCTGATGAATCTGCAATAGCAGGAAAAAACCCTAGATTTTGCAGAGCTTAGTCTGTAGAGGAGACAATAGTAAAAAAAACTGCCAGTATTTATATTAGGAGATTCGAGGGAGAAGAAGAAAACCCTAATCCGCTCTTGGTTAGGTTAACCGGAACCGGTTCTTACCATTTAATTTGGGACAAGTGAAGATTATACCAAACCCCCGGTTTGGATACTAGAGAAAATTGGGTCGGTCATAAGCAGGGCGGATATGGATACGCCGAATTACATTTCGTTTCAATTTTTTTTTTTTTTTGTAACTGAAGTGAGTCTTATATTTGCTTGCTATGGCCATTTTGGTTTAACGCATCACCATATTCTTTGGGGAAATACATCGCATGTCATTTTGAAATTGTTTAGAACAAAAAAAAAAAATGCAGAGTAAATGGATTGTGAAATCAAGAAAATGTATATTTAAATGTGAAATGAACTTCCTTGGAGATCACAGGAACGTTGCTCGCAATCCAGCTTGCCCCATCTTGCATCCACTCTCTCGCATGGGAACACCAATTTCCCCAAACTGCAATACATGAACAATGTTCAAAACGAGTAATATATCTCAAAATCTTCCAATTTTTACGTCTAAAAAATATTCTGAGTTTTAATATTTTGTAATCTCTATATATCTCTTTCGTTCACTAGAAGATTGTTGTATAAGACATTGTAACACATAAATTTCGTGTTTATAGAGGATTTTTGGATAAAAACATTTTTTTACTATTTGATTTTAATACCATTTTATTAGATATTATCGTCCTAACAGGTTTATACAAATAAGGAGTTTGTATTTATCGGTTTGTAATTTACTATTCACGGTAACAGTAAGAAACCCGAACATGAATTTCGTCAAGGGACATTGGAGATATATGCATGAATGAGCAGCCTAGTGATAATATGGAACCAAACAACTCTTATGGCATTGCTTCTCTCTTTTTTTTCGGGCTTAAGGTGATGAATTACCTTCTATTTACAGTGTTGTGGACATGGCAGAGCCATTGCGAGAACTCTTCCTGAGATCCGGCTTGCACAGGATTTGCTCTGCCACGAACCAAACCAATGGAGGATGAGTGACATAAAAGCACGGATCCATTAATAAATACATCGCTCAATTCATAAATGATGAAACGTTCATATTTTTGGTTCACAGTCGTTTAAAGGAAAGCGTGTCCCAAGTCCTTCTCGATCCTAGAAACCAACAACGATATGACTGACCCGACTACAAGATTCCCGAAAACAAGAAGATAGTACCTGAGAATTTCTTTGAAATGATCGGCACATTCCCTGCAAGGATACATTCGAGATAATATCGCCATCTGGAAGAAACAAAAAGTGCGGTATTAGCTAAAGGGGAAGAACATGGGTACCAAGGTTTTTGAAGGAGGTTAAAAGTGTCATCATCTGCTTCCTCGAGAATCATTGATCGGGAAAGGTTAAGCCTTTGAGAATTTCAACGACCTACAACTAATCTTTAGACCCTTTTGAATGGAGAATTTGTAGCTTCTAGGAGTCGTTAGGAACTTAAGATCACGAATTCGTTGGAACGACTTCTGACCCATTCTTGCTGATGCCAATTTCCTTCTGAACGTTTTGAACACTAAATTCAGACCTTTGTAAAATCTTAATCACAAAAATGTAAAACAATATCTCATGACAAACACTATTCTCATGGTCCTTTAGCCCTAAGAAACACAGGTCGAAATTATATGCAAAGGTTTTCTAACAACAATAAAGAATCGGTCAACTAACAACTTTTCTCAATACATAATTGTAAGAAATTATACAGACGTATACTAGGGCGGGTAAGTAATATACCAGCTCTTTCACGTCCTTCTTCTGTTGTCTCGTCGGTTTTTCTGGGTACTGAAAAGCATCATCCAAGTTAAAGAAAACATTACCGGGTCCGTTAACTTCAAAGACAGCTAACTGTTACATGCGAGGAGTTGAACAAAAAGTTCCGCAACTATACGAAACATTAGACGACTGAGTAAACTGCAAACTCAAACCTGTGCGGCAAGAGTGTGCAGAAACGTCCAAGTAGCTCTCCCAAGCTCTTCTTTGGTCACAGGACCCGTAGATTTTTCCTGATGAACAACGGCCATTTTCAATGAAGGTTATGATCGGTATCGAATCATACATAAGTACGGTGTTATTCAATGAACTCACTCTACTGCACAGACATGGAGAATCGTCATGGTAAACTACTGAAACTTGATGCACGATGCAACTCAATCAGGATCAAATGTATATACAAATCATCAGATCATGACAGATAATCTACATTGGCTAATCTACTGTAGCAAGTAAAATGTCAAATTTTGCTTCTTTATCTCATTTCGCATCCACATATTCTGTATCGAAACAAAGAGCGAAACTGGAAAGGAGAAAATCAAATGGAAAGGGTAAAAAAACCAATTAGACTCCAGAATTTTATCAAACACATGTCGAGCAAGAAGAACACTCGTCCTAGTTTATCCCACAAGTTTGTTTTTTCTTTCCAAATCAGTCAAATAAAGAGACCCACAACCACAGAGCCGATTTCACTACAACCGAAGTAAACGAAAGCTTCTGGAGAAAACCCTTGGGACCCAGAATACGTAAAGGACAAGTCTTTCGGGAATTCTATCGAACAGTTGGTGTTCGCGACGAGAAGAAGATCGATAATACAAAAACAGAGCTGATTTGAGACGAGAAGATTGGGAAAAAAAAGGGTCGTACCTTGATCGGGAGCTGCGCAGAATTCGAAGTGGAAGATGAGTTTGGTAATGGAGATTCGATGGAGATGACAGGGCTATGGACTGCGGGCGATGAACGACGAGTTTTGTTGATTCCAATGAAATTCGAGAGATGGGTTTGCAAGGAAATGGATATTTTCTCGAAGGTTTGGAGAAGGGGTTGCCATGGATTTTCAGACATTTTTTTTTTCTCTCAGAAGGAAATAACGAGACAAGAATCCGTTCCGAGAGTGAGGGAAAAAAGAAAAGAAAAGTGGGAGACCGTTGTCTAGTTTGGTCGGGAAATCCGAATATACGTTTTAAAGAAAGAACAAAAAGCAAAACCAGATATAAAAAGCCATCCTAAATTGTTAACCAACTTTAATAATTTCTCTAAATTTCCAGAGCCTTAACCAATTTGTCTCTTGTCAAATCCCTTTATCATTCGTGAAGGAGAAAAGACATCTAGGCAATGACATCATATAGACAATATAGAGTGAATAGTGGTCGGATACTGGTCTCGGTCGGAGATGCTAAATGCCATTCATTGCTTTCCTCCGCTCTTCTTCCTCGGCTTTAATCCAAGCAGCCTAGTGAGGGGAAAAAAATAAGAACAGGTGAGAGATAATATGGCAAATATATCATTCAGTTCGCCAACTGGTCCGCGGCTCATATTGGCTCCGCTAGTCACGGACCAGATCGTGCCATATGGGTCTGGTCTAGAACGGATAGAGTTGCGTACCTTTTCTCTTTCAAGTTTCGAGAGACGTGGACGGATAGAGTTCCCGAGGTCTAAGCCACCCCAAGCTTCTTGCATTTCCCGGTCTCTGGCTTGTCGTCTCGTCAGCCATTGCTTCGTCTGCTCTCCCGATTGCTCCGTCTCTGCTGCTGCTGCTGCTGCTATCTTCTCTCTATCGAGTCTCGTCTTATGCTGTTTGGTCAGTAGTATCTGATCCAAGCTTCCTTCCTTATTTGTCGTTGTTTCCTTCTTCTCCTCTTCCTTTTTATATTGGATGACTCTTTCATCTGCTTGGTGGAGGAACCTCATTTTCTCCTTCTCAAGCCGTGAGACATGTTTCACCAAAACTTTGTCCAAGCTCTCGAGTTCCGTCTCGTTTTTCGCTGCTTTGTTTCTCCTGTTTCCATAGTTTGTCCTCGATTCATCGAGCGTTTTCATCATTCTTTCTCTTTCCAACCTGTGAACCGGACTTTCGCTTTTCGTATCCTCTGTCTCAGACCTTCTGCTGATGTCGTTGTTTGAGTCCACGTTTTCTTTTCCCGATTCTCCGCCCATCTTTCTCGAGTTTCTCGATTCGAGATCTGCTTTGCTTTTTTTCTTTGCTTCTTGGACCTCTTTCTCTAGCTTCGAGACGTGTTTTACCACAATATTTTCCAGGCTAGGAAGAACTTCAGGTTCTGCTGCTTCAGTTCTACATTTCACTGGCTTCTTGATGTTTTCGTACATTTTCCCGGAGTTCTTTTTAGTTTCTTCGATTTCCTTCTCCAGTCTTGAACAGTGCTTCTTTACTAGTAGACTTTCCAAGTCAGGTACAGGTTCTGATGAAGGTAGATGATTTCTGCTAGAGATCTTTCGGTATTCCCCGAAATTTGTTCCTGCATTCTTTTTGGCCTCTGCAATCTCCCGCTCAAACCTCGAAGAGTTTTTCACAAGAACACTTCCCAAATCTGGAATATTCTCGTGTGAAGCAACTTTGTCAGGATTGCCTTTTACATCTTTGGACGCAATCTTGGCTTCAAACACTTCTCTTTCGAGTTTTGTCATGTGCTTCACTAAAACTTTATCCAAACTCGGTACCTCTGGCTCGGGTCGGGCTTCATTAACTGGATTTTTGTCTTCCTTAGGCGCTGCATCCATTGCAGCCATCATCTTAGCTTGATGAACCACTTTTTCAAGTTTTGTCATACGCTTGACTAGGAACTTTTCCAAACTAGGGATCTCCGACTCACTTGGTTTCTTCGGAGTTTTCCCCTCCATGAAGGACTCAAAATTGGAATCTCTGCTCGATCCCCTATCTGTAGAAGACATCTTACCCAAAAGTTCATGAGCCGAGACAGAAGTTTCAGGGTTTAGATTTTGAAGCCTTAGGTGTCCAACTTCAGCTAAGGCCGCATTTAAACCACAAGTTGCTACTATAGTGGCGAGAGACGAAAGTTCATCTTCATGTAAGCCTCGAAGCCTTTCAAACATCATATCTACTAGCTTCTCCCTGTTAAGCTTCCCAAAGGATTGTCTCCTCTTGGCTTTTAACTGTCTCATCTCAAGATATGATGATGACGTCTTTTGGCATTCGGCCTCTGCTTCGCCACTCTTATGTAGAGTGTCAGGTTCAAAATCAGACTCGGTTTCACATTCTGAAGAGACCTCGGATATTTCGTGATTTTCATGCACATCAGGGTTCTCGCTGATTTTCTTAAGAAGCTCCTTAAACTCATCTTTGCTGAATGAGGGACGGTTTGCAAGCCTAGCAAATGCTGCTTTGACAGCAGCAGCCACTTCTTTATCTACATCAAATGCTGTCTCGAAAGATGCCGTGACAGTATGGGTAGGAGATCCTCCTCCGTGTCCTGATGAGGTTTCGATCTGACACCGTTTCCTTGAGCTATTCGGTTTATCATACATTATCACTCCCATTGCAGATGCTGCTTCAAAAGCTTCGGCTGCAGCCTTTTCCGTGTTTGACATCAGAGTTTCTGCTTCTTTACATGGGATCCTGTCAACCAGAAAGCAACTTTTGTTACGGGAAATGGCAATAAGAGATACTGTGAATTTTGCGGTATACGAAAATGATGAATCACGTACCTTGCAGCTCGAAGAATTCGACACCAAGATGCTTCAACCAATGCAGCCTTACGGGCCTCCATGGCCTTGCAGGCAGCCTCTCTCACAGCCATTTGTTCTCTTACAATTCGGCAGTAGTGTGGATTCGAGTCACCAAGAGTCTCGTCAAGAGTCTGGTTCATGCCATCTACCTCCTGAAACACATACAACAGTTTTAGGATCCGAGAACTGTCAAAGTGTTACCAATCAGTGAAGATATCAGTAACTGTGTAACAAACCTGTAGCTTCTTTATCTTCCTATCCAGGTATGAGTCCACCTTTTTCCGAGGGAACCAGCCAACAGGAGAGGTTTTACGTTGAGATGGCTTCTTTGACTGTGATTTGCGGAGAGCTGATGTCTGCTTTGGTGACCTACGCTGCATTTTTTCGGAAGAAACGAAATGTTCAGACATGGTCAGCGAAAAAGCACAAGGAATTTTGCACAGCTCAATGAGATTCAAATAGATAATCGGAGAGACCCCAAATAGCCATCTAGAATACAGATCAACAATTAGGTACGACATGATCTGAAGCAAACACAAGGGTGAACTTGCTGGCCATATAGTGGCTTAATTAACAGTCCAACTGATGATCCATACGAGAAGTTACAAGATCTTCAACTCGAATATGTGAATTGCAGTCATTAACACGCAAACCAGAAAGCATTCCAACAATCTGATCAAATTCTCTCATAATGTCACTGGAAATGATATATGACTGAAATAGATCAGTAACATCAGTTACTATGACCAGAACTCACGGAGCCAAACATGAACTAGTGATCGTGTAAATCGACTGATATATCCAACGCAAGGGATCAGAACTCTAATGCAGAGCACGTACATTCTCTTCCTCCTTAAGAGCAATAAACTTAGTCAAACAGATCATTATTACGTATTTTCACTCATATCTCCATATTTTCCATCATCAATTTCACGAATTCGGACCGAAACTAAACCCTAAACGATCGTACTCACGAATTTCAAAACATCAAAAAACCGCCAAAAATCGAGCGTAGGAAATGCACACTGAAATCGCACAAAATTGAAGAAGAACATAGAAAATGTGATTCCGAACATCAACCCAAAACAAAATGGCCCAGCATCGGGATAAAAATCAGATGACGTACCTGTCCTGATTTCGAAACTGCAAATTCTACAGGATCGGCATCTTTGCGCCGAGAATCAACAGCTTCTCCGCCGCTGAACTTGTCGGAGACTGAGATGCATCCCAAATCCAGGCAGCCGAGATCCATGGCGGAGGCGAACTTGTTCATATCCTCAGAAGATTCGGAATTACACAGTAACAGATCGATTAAGACTAGTGAAGACGACTCAGAAAATCGATGTTCGTTCGGGATTTTCAAATTGAGAGAGAGAGAGAGAGAGAGAGAGAGAGAGAGAGAGATTTGTCTATGAAGCTCTTCACTCTTTCTACGGGGAAGAAATCTTTTTTGAGAAGTAGCCGTTACAGACGATTTTGTGTCTCTCTTTTGAGCTGAGCAACGGTTCATTTTGTGCATCCTTAGGGTTTTATCATGTACATGCAAGTCCATGGAAGTTACACTATGTTGTAGGCTCTCATGCGACACGTGTCATACACATAACATTACTGCTTTTATCATGTAAAGTGTATAAATTACATTTAGTGATGTTCCAACTTCCAATTATTTCTTCAATTATTTCTTTAATTACGTCCATTTTTTATGATCATCTCCTCCATCTTTGATATTTACTGTTTTATAAATATACTTATCTTTGATATTATTTGAAGTTTAATATATAAAACATATATTTTTAAAGATGGATATAGATTCTCTCTACAAATAATAAGATATAAGACTTTATTTGTTTCTCACATACAAAACTTTTTCTCATCCTCTTCTTCAAAAAATAAAAAAATAAAAAATTGCAAGAGTAATAAAAGAATGATTCTATTCAATAAGTTTTTCGACGATCTCATTCTCATGTAAATTATAAATTATAAGTCACGTTGTTATTTTCTCATTCACCGCAATGTCAAACTCATCTCGAAATAAGTACACAATCTTTCTAACGATACTTGTATCTTTCAGAACGTATCAATCAACAACATTTCATTGATATTATTATGATATAAAAATTCGAAGATATCAAATTTTTATAAGAATTATAAGAATAATGGTAACCTTTGAGGCTATGTTTTACAAATGAATCATAATCTATTTCGGTATGAACCGTAACAAAAACGAAAGATTCGAGTATTTAATTAGAGTCGTTGAAAAAAAATCATAGAGAAGCGACGTACATTCATTGAAGGGTATCGGGAGAGAAGCCATAGGATATATGATCGACTCATTGATTGTACAAATTCAAATATCCTATAATCATTATGCAAATTAATGCAACTACGAGACTAAAGATTTTTTAGTAAGTAATACTATTTGGAATGCATATAGTGAAGACAGTGATCAAATTTGTCGTACTTGTTAGGGTTGGCTTTGATTATATAGAGTTAATAATTTTTTCAGTATATTAAAGAATTTGATCATGTGTTAAATATTTTTTTTTCCGGATATTAGGTTTGATGTAGATGTTATGATTTATATATAAGTAAATACAAATGTTATGATTCTAAAAATATGTATTTATTTCAAATCTAATATTAATAATTTATTATTGTGTGTTTCTTTGATTACAAAGATTAAAAATTTACAATTCAATATTTGCTGATTCAAAAGTGACTCTGTCATCGAGTTATAAAATTTCTCTAAACATTATTATGATGTTTCAAATTCCAACATTTGGTTTTATATTATAATCCATAAAAATATAAATAACAAAGTTATTCATAACTCTTCTAAATAAAAGTATAATCCCATTATCTCACCACTTTCAAAAAAATTCGAAATAAAAAAATTGTGAAAATATATCAATTCTTATAAAATTTGTATATTTATTTAGAAATTCATATATTTATATAGATTTTTTTTTAAATTCATGGGTTTTAGATTTTTAGCTGATATTTTATAATTATTATTTAATTAATTAAAATATAAATTTATATAGAAAGTAATATATTTTTAGAAAAATTTATAATAGATAAAAATATTTTAAATCAAATAGAAAATATTATAACACGTAAACTCTATTATTTATAAATTTTTAATATATACATATTCTGATATTAAAATTTAATAAAATTAATATTAGAAAAACATAGCTATTTAATTTTTATATAAGAGAAAACCAATATGAGTGAATAGATAGATTTGATGTAACAAACATATATTCTAAAAAATAAAAATAGAAAAAAGACTGCTTAACTTTTTAAAATATTAGATAATAACTTATGCATATCGCACACATTAAAAATATGGATGAATTTTTAAAAAAAAAATATTATTCTTTTTACGGTTAAAAATAATATATTTTGTTTTTGATTTTTTAAATCATATTCTAAGGGTTTTTTTAATTTCTAGTTAACGGATTGTTGCAATTTTAAGAAGGTTTATGAATAGTTTTTATATTTATATTTTCGTGACTTATAATATAAAAATTATGGTTGAAATATAGAATACTATATAACAAAGTTTGAAAAAAAGTTATAATTGGATGAAAGAGAGTCAGTTTTACC